CTATAAATTCCAATATTAACACTTCTATAAATTTAACATCAATAATTCATTCATACATGCCAAAAATTTTATTGACAAATAAATTTCTATGTGGAACAATTTATGACTATTTCCCATATTGTATACATCTTGATACATGTTTATAATAGGGTAGAGTAATAATAACGGGTAGGTACCATGAATATTTATTGCCGTAAATAAAAATTCAGGAAAAGGGCGGAGGTATAAAAAATAATGTTTCTTTAAACAACATTTTCTATGCCAGATGTGTATGAAATATATAATGTGGTTCACAAGGCTGTTTGCTTTTTGTGATGTGCCACAAAGAGGGACTGGAATTTTTTATATTTGCGTATAAATGTAGCGATAAATTTATACAGTGCGTTCGTTTACATCCTACATTGTAATCTATTAACAAACTCCCTTTAATACTAACATTAGCTTATCTGACGTACTTCCTCCCGAACTCTGTTTTAAATCTTTCAAATTTGTAGGTCTATTAATGTAAATTTTGCACTTTAACCAGCACCATGAAACTGAAGAACAATGTTGTTTATGATATTATCAACATACACTTGAGCGGTCATCGTTCCATCAACGATAAAGGAGTCAGATAAGGCTGAAAATAGACGAGGCGTTTTTTGCCGAATCGGCCGTCGATTCTACAGACGAAACGTCAAAATAAACGAGGCGGCTGGACACCGCGACGTTTTCCGTATGATCAAAACATACCGAGCGTTTTATAAGCATTAGTAAATTTCCTCAGTACGTTGTTGTCAGTTCATTCAGACACCCGTTTTAAAATAATCGATTCCGATGAAGAGTTTGTGATACTTCTAGGTGTATTATACTGCAGATTAAAAAGAAAAAAGAATCGTAAAATGTGGACACACCCAATTATTAGTGAAAGAAAAAATAAAGGATACTTTTACACTTTGTACAATGAAATCAAACAAGTCGATGAGAAGTTTTTTTAATTTCGTCAGAATGTCTATGACATCTTTTAATGAACTATTAAATTTCATGTATTAATTGTTCGATATTTATTTCTATATGTCACTAAAATAATTAAAAAATTTTAAAGTCACGTCAAATGGTCGCTCGTCGCGTAGGCGGTGACATTCGTTACCGACGTATCGTCTGTTTTAATACATTCATAACGAGTGAAGCAAACGATGATTCGTCTGCAGAATCGGCGGCCGACTCGGCACAAAACGCCTCGTCTGTTTTCAGCCTAATCCATTGAGGCACACCATGATTGAAGCACCGCCATAAGGATAGATTTCATGAACTTGACGATATGTGGCTACCCTATCCATGCCTTAACTCTGCGATCATTTGAAAATCTGCTCACTCAAGTTTCATCGGTGAATATGACAGAAAGAATTTCATCTCATCAATGTAGATGTTCACGTGCCCATTTCAGTCTCGCTTGTTTATGATGTACGGTTAAAGGAACTCTTATCAGACGTTTTCTAAAAACTGTACCCCTATCCTCCAAATGTTTTCGAAACGTTTCTATCGATACATTTACTCGACTCGATTTTGACCAGCACGAATCATTTCATTCTTCGTGAGTCAACTTTCTCCGTGGCATATCGTAATCTATGTATCTATCTATACATATATAAAAGCTCAAAAGGTTTTCTTCTCCGGTTCCTCAAGCGGCTACCGCTTCACCAATTTTGATAATTTTTTTTTTCAATGAAAGGTCTCTACCCTCAGGTGGATCATGACACATTTTTATATTTTACATTTTCATATGTAAAACAAAATAAACAAAAACTAATGCATGTTAGCGTATGCTAAGCGCGGCGTTACTTGAAGTGACCTCTACCACCGACCTCTAAAGAAATGGAACTAATGCATCTTAGCCGGTTTGGCCAGAGACAACCACTGTGCCAGTATCACAGAATCTGTGCCAGTGTGCTGTTCGGTTATTGTTTACATTCGAGTTTTCAGTTACTTTGCTGCAAACAGGATTGTTTATATGTGACTTCAAGTTTTTACTTGCTTTGCAAATAGGAATTTAAGCTAAGTATTTATAGTTTAGTTTACTATTTTTATTTGTTTATCGGGATAAACCTATAAACCGACACGTTGTTCCTATTATAGGTGACGGAAATTGTTTATTTCGTTCTGTTTCGCATTGTTTATTTAATATCGCGAGATACGCATGCAAGTCGTCGAAAAAATTAAAAATGAATGGGAATATTATGAAGGTATTATTGTTGGAGATCCATCGTATCGGTTACCGATTACAAATTCCGCTGAATACGAAAATTTATTGTCGAGTTCGCCGGCCATGTAGAATTGCACTGTATTAGTCAGCTGTTTCCTAATCATTTGTTTAGAGTGTATAGAGATAATAATAATAACGAAACTCTTGATTATGGTACTGGAAATATTATTTCTAATTTACTTTTTTCTGGTAATGTTGATGCAGGACATTATAGTGTTTTAGAATTTCGTCCTGTCACTAATGATGCCGATGTGGAAAACACACTCTGCAATGTTGTGCAACATAATATTTCAAAAAACCGTAAATTAAGAAAGACGTTGACTGGCGACAGGGAAAGGAGAAGCGAACGCACAGAAAAACGTCTAAAATACGAAAAAAAAAACCTGCTTTACAGTTCAATATAGACGTGCCGTTTCTGATACTATCTCAAATGTAACTCCATTCAACTTAGGTAACTTAAACAACATATGTAGTTATTGCTCTGCCCGGTACTTTTCATGTGAAAAAAATTCGGCTGGCTATTTTGGTCTTTGTTGCTGTAATAAAAAGTTCAAATAACCGGAATTTCGGATTCCTGATAAATTGACAGAAATAGTTCTCTCAGGGAATGACGAGATATCGAAAAATTTTCGAGATAATATTCGACAATATAATAATGCTTTGTCGTTCGTGTTATTCGGGGCAAATATAAAATTACCTTCCGGATATGGTCCGTATTGTTTCAAAATTCTTGGTGTAGTACATCATAAAATTTCGTCATTATACCCTCAAAATGGAGGACGTGCTTCTTATGGACAGTTATACATTTTAGACTTTTCTGAAGTCAATCAAATTAGACTTGAACATGCTGCGAACAGTTCTTTGAGAAAAGACATTCTAGAAATACTAAATGGTGTCGTAAATCAATGTAATCCTTATGGCATGTCATATAAGACAATGCATCAGAAGATATGTGAAGAAAAGGAGTTAGCTTTAAAAGAAAATCGTGTACCTATTAATTTGGTAATGCGTTTTTATCACGAACACAAATCAGATCCTCGACGGTATAATGATCCTACATGTTCCGAAGTTGCAGCTGTTTTTGAATCAGCCGACGGTGCTCCACCTTCTCATAGACATATTGCTGTTTACGCACATGACGGTGGAATAAAAAATATAGATTTTGACAGTATGCATTGCGATAGTATGTATTAATCTGGCCGTGCGGGGAACCAGGATGGCATATTTTAATGCCAACTGGAGGAGAGCGCAAAACTAAAATTCGCCAAAATATTTCTATTCGAGAATATATATCTTACAGACTTATGGTTCGAGGTTTAACTCCTGTAGGAGACTTCAACTCAATAATTAATGCTGGGAAGTTAACGCAGCAGTTGATTGTTGATTATTACTGTCACATCGAAGGCGACAGATTGAAATTCATCCGTAACCAACAGGTGAAATTGCGAGTAGATACATACGTTGGTCTTGCAGACGCTTTACATGTAAGGGCCGACAACGGAAACTTAAAGGCTGGAAGTGTTGTTATTTTACCTTCATCGTTTACTGGCAGTCGTCGAAACATGATGCAAAATTATCAGGACGCAATGGCCATTGTAAGAAAATTTGGTAAGCCAGACATTTTTTTGACGTTTACATGTAATCCTTTATGGCCTGAAATTACAAATAGCATACATTCTTATGAAACTGCTAATAATAGGCCAGCCGTTACTGTTTGCGTGTTTCATGCAAAAGTAAAGGAACTCTTGCGTTTAATTAACCAAAAACAAATATTTGGCGAAGTACTAACAATGTATAACTGTCCATAAGAAGCACATCCTCCATTTTGAGGGTATAATGACGAAATATTATGATCTACTACACCAAGAAATTTAAGGAGGTGATGTAACATGAAACTTTCGTCACTCACTTGCATTTTCCAATACACCCGCCGTCGAATTTCGACGGGGTTACGCTAGTTACTAACTAAGAATAAACGTTATTCTGGATTCACAATACGAAATATACTAATGGCCTGCTTGAAGAAGAAATAAATAAGTGACTTTTATTGAATTACAAGTTTTCATCGTGTCGCAAAGAATAAGTCAATTAACTTTATGACAAGCACACGTAAAATATAAATATAGAGCTTCACGTTCGATGTGTAAAGTGAATCTTGACAGTTCTCTTTTGATTTACACATTGAGAAATGCATTTTCCGTACATTTTCAGGGGATGTGACCTTATTTTATATGTTAATTTAGTCCTGGCGTGGATTGGCGTGACGTGAGGTTTCCATTTCAATCTATCACATCGGCATCAGTAAGCAAGGCAAAGAACAGTAAAAAAACAGATCTATCCATCTATCTTATATGGCACCCTAAAATATACCAGAGGCAATTTTTTTTGTTAAACAGATAAATAATATAATTAGGTAGATACCAAATTCTTCTTAACAAAATGAATATTATACAGTATTCAGGATGTAATATAATGGAATGTTATAAATGAAGGAGCGTATTTCTTGACAGGCGCCTACTTGTTCTTATATGAAAAAATTATTGGTGTATTTAATTGTACAATAAGTGACTACGATTTAACTTTACAAATTGTCAAACGGTAAATGGAAAAAAAGTTAAGAGATCAGTTTTGTTCAAAATTAAATTTGCATTCCAAAAATTGCAAAAAAATCTTCAGTGGCGTGCCATAATTCTTGACGAAAACGTAACAGCACACTCCATATCTACGTCACTGGTTTAAGTTAGGGCTTAATTCGTGTGACTTCGTGGTCGAGTCGTAAGGACACTTGCCTCTCACTCTGGAGTCACGGGTTCGATTCCAGGTCGAGGAGTTAGGATTTTTTAAAACCAGAAATTAATCTTAGCATACTCAGACATTGGATGTGGGTCCATTGTCTTTAAATGTGTTGCCCTCCCCCACACAAGGTACCTTGAGATATCTTCATGGATACATCAGGTTGTGTTATACAGGATGGGGCAATAATGCGTCCGACTTGGATATGTCGAATTCTATGACAGCTAGAAACTTGATTTAAAAACATAAATAAACTAGACAAAAAAGTCTATAACCGGAAATTATTTTCGAATATAATGGGTGAGCCAAGACGATTCTACAGAGTCAACTAAAATTTTTTAAATATAAATATTATTGACTCTTTCTCAACCTCTTGGATGTATTTTGTTTTGATATTATGCCATTTACAAACAGTGTATATTTAAAAAACCTCTCTAGTCACAATTATCGATTTAAAAAAATATATGTTAGTACCAGTTATGAGACATCTGTGTGATGACACTCAGCAATTTTTACTTCCTAAAAGTATACAGGGTCGCCAAAAATAATTTTTAAATTTACAACTATTTGAACTGAATTTTCTCAACACAATAATATTAAAAAATGCCTAATAATAATTGCCAGAAATGGTGTTTAATAGAAAAAACACAGGTATTTTGAGACCTTAATATGGTAATTTTCAAATGAAATACAAATAAATTAAACATCGGTAACGCTTACAAGGTACGTAGTCTCTACGATTCTAGCTTGGCACAAGGCGGCGCAGTGCGAGAAGAAATATTATTAATGATGCAAGTGCACGCTGACAACCATAAACAACTGTTAATGGACATGATATAAGAGTTAAGTCTTTGTAAATTACACCATGCCACTCACCGACGCACGATAGATTGCATTACAACGGGTCGGCTTTAGTAATAGCAGTTTTTACAACAGGAATATTAAGTTAATGTAAAAGTAATCAGGACAACGTTTGTGCTGCCTGGAATACGTTTTGTAAAATTTCAACCAGCTTACCCAATCACAATCAAATTTGAGACACCCTGAAGAGACACCAATTTAAAAACCGAAATGAATATTAAAATTTATTATGAAATTTCAAGTAGAACACACGTTGTGCCTTGATTTATAAATAAAATCTCTTCCATTTTCCTGATAATATCAAAGTGTCATAAACTGATTTATTCTTAGATTTATATAAAGTGCTACATTTTAGACACAATCTTGAATCGCTTGTAACTGTAACGAATATATGTTAAACATGCAATTTTTGTAAAGTGTAATATATATGTAGTTTAATTCTGTATGAAATATAGCATTTCTCCGTCTAGAATAAAAGAAAATGTGAGAAAATTGTTTCGTTTCTAAATGACGGGTCATTCAGCAGAACAAAGAATAAAATAAACCGGAATGGACACGCCACTAAATAACAAAAGAGAAAGGAATTGCTACAAAACTTTCGCTAACACATATGCAACCATGAATACAAAGCTTTTGAATATAAGGTTGCCTGCCATCGAATTGAAATGCAAGGGCTTATTACTGAAACGCGGATAAAATTTTAAATGTAATAATAAAATGCAAGTAAACAAGCCTCCAGTGGCGTGCCAAGCCTTTCGAGGTGGGGGAGGCATAGCATACTTGAGGGCGCAAATCGTACTGATAGTGTATTCAAATGAAACATGATTTTAAATTTATTTTTTAATACTGAAATAATCAAAACACAGTAAGACAACTGCTGTAAAATTTTGCAGTACAGAAATATAAAACAAAAAACAAGCAACAACATAATATACCTGTGTTATTATTAATCAAGGACTCCTGCATACTGTTATCTATCATCATGAAACTATGACTAGCAAATCAAATCAAATCAAAATCAAAAACAATTTATTTCTTAAATTATATTTACAAAAATTATCCTCATTGGATACCCGAGTACATAGCCAACCCAACGTCCACGCGACAGATCGACTGGAAATTGACTGGTTGGACGGAACGGGACCAGTGAGATCTGAAAACAGAATAAGCTTTTCGTATACCTAGTCATGTTTATGTATTTTGTAAATATCAACACTTTATCGAGATGAACCTCTAAATATTTTACGTAAGTCTTTGTGTCAATTTGGTGCCCGTTTATTGAAATAAGTGTCAGAATTTTGTTATTTTTAAATTTCTTCGTGAATAGTATAGCCTCCAATTTGCTCTCGTTTAGTTTCACCTTCCATTGGTCATAACACGTCGTGATCTTGGTCATATGCGCAATTTTGCAGCTTGTGCGCTGTATATTGTCGAGGTGTCAACGGCGTACATGGCCAGTTTGGTGCTGGGAAACTGAGGAAAGTCTGAGACATACAGATTAAATAATTTCGGTGCTAAGACCAACCCCTGCGGGACGCCTGCGCGAATACTCTTAGATAGAGAGAGTGTGTTGTTATATAATGTTGACCTGAAGCGTTCTGCTGTTCAAGGAACAAATACATAATGGATACATGATTTAATACTCGGGGACAAACAGTATTTACCTTGTGAACTTCTTTACATAACACATCTTCCAGGTTTCACCGCCATTGTTTGTCTAGTTTGGTGTTTTTTCGACGACACATGCCTCGTAACAGCGGATTTATTAATGATTGGACTATATTCACGTATGACGGTCCCACATATTACACTACATTTTACACTAAACAGAAAATATCGAATAAATAAGAAATTTCTTTATACTCGCTGTACACACAACACTTCGCTAGCTAGACCGTTTTCGAACTGAACAAATTACAAACTGCATAGGGATGGATGTAAACTGAATAGAAGGTCAATAGCAAGTAGTAATCTAGGGACGCAAACGATATTCGCCCTTCGACACTACATATATAAATAATGTAAATAATTCTCGGCCGCTCATCGGTGCCAATATAATTCTTGGCGATTGACGATCGTTCATCTATGCAAAAGATTAATTGAGTACACTGGCAACAATTACAGTTTAATTTATTACTATTTTATCACGCGTTCTTCGTAATACGGTTATAGGTTTTAAAAATCCGTCTGAAATGACATGTAGACTTCTTAAGTCTAATTATAATCAATAAAATTACCCTTAATCATGATGGCATAAACGCATATATTGAAGAATCAAGTCCGCAGCTATTCATAATAATAATATTTTGATTATTATTAGGTAACCGAGAGTTTCTCTGTTGAAAATTACCTCGTTACGACACTGCTTTTCCTATCACATTAATTTAGAAAGGGCTTGCCCATACTTCCAAACTTGATTATGTAGTATAAAGAAGGTAATATCAACTTTTTATTGGATTTAGGTGTTTTATCCACCTAAGGTACGAAAAATGTTTATTAAACGTATAAGATCAAGGAGAATAAAAAGATAATCACCTCGCTATATGATCCCGGAGTTTTTATATAACGGCTGGGCAAGATTATATTTTATTATATAAGACAAAGTAAGAAGTACAGTAGATAAATATTATTATCCAAAAACATGTATTATGTTACATGCTACAATCAATGAAATGGGACCCAGCGCGCAACGGGTTGGAGTACGTGTTTCTTCCACGTGATATTTGCTGTCCTGCTGGTTAAGATTAAACAGAAAGTTCTACATGTCCAAAAGCACAAATTCCTCAAATTGGTCTCATCCTATATTTATGTACTTAATTGAAGAAAGGACATTACAATTTACTGCAAATAGGTCCATTAAAAATGAGCAACTACTTTTTTAATTTAGTCGAAGTGTCGCTATGTTTATTAGCGCCCACAGGGCTAGTTAAATTGAGCCTTTCTTGTTCATAATGAGCAAAAAACAAAAAGTAGCATGACACAGGTTCAATTAAATTGTAATATTGATATGTTGTAGGTCACTAAACATTCAAGAAATTAGGAAAGGATCTCGGAAATGATCAGGGAAAGGAAACTAGACCAGAGTCCAGAACCGATAGCTACTTTTAGCTCATCCTGGAGGGGGTTGGAACCTTTGATGTGAAGATAACACTGACGTAGTTTTCCACCCCAGGTAACACTAATGCTCTTATTAAGATCTCCAAGGTCGCTTTAAAATTATACAATAAAACTTCGAATAAAACCAAATGATCTTCAAGACAAGCTTAGGATCACCATAAAGGAGCTTCTAGCCAAAAAGGGCCCATCCTAAAAGGGTCTTGAAGACTAAATTTTAAAACTATATTAAAAACCATTTAGTTTTAATTTCATATTCTTAAAGAGTTCTTCAAGGCAACCTTAAATTTATGTATTAAAACGTTTTGCATTTAAAATAAAATTGCAGCAGACTAAATTGCCTTGAGAATCATTATTATTAATCCTAAAAGGGTTTTCTTTTGTTTTAAAGTCGGACAACTCTATGCGTGAAATAGTTAAAACAACGGCAAGTCTCTAATGGGGCAGAGTGGTAATATTTTAAACGTAACGCATATAAAGCTGATCAAAAATAATATTCAAATGCAAACTATTCTGGTAAAAATTACCAACGGATGGCACTTTTCTGACAAAATATAATAAAATACTTCTACACAACTCGAGCGCCACCAATATAATGTTTTTTTTATTATCTAAAAATTTTTTTTAAAATATCGTCAATTTTTATTTTGCATCTAAACATCCAAATGCATTTTTTTTATTAAATTGCATGTTTGGACACACCGTCCTTCAGTTATTTAAGAGGATGTAAAGCGCATATATTTCAATAATATTTTTTTCTTTGGCTATTGAAAATATTCATCATGGCGGGTCTGTATCTTATATAAAAAATGGCGTGGTCTAGATAAAAACTGATTGCAAGTTAATAGAACATTTTAAATCTTACAAGACTTAAAATAGCGTTTTATTTACCATTTTAAGTACAATTACTCTCCCTGACATTTATTTACTCTTCCTTTTAAAACTGAGTTGCTTTAATATGTTCAAACTCGTGGCCTTATTGATTTAAAGGGATCTGGCGCGCGTATGAAATCCTAACCTTAAAATTGTGCCGGTTTTGCGATTGCTGGATTTAGTGACTTCGTT